AAACCATCTTTTGCCATTGGAAGCAACTTTAGCAGGACCCCAAACATCAGAGTGAACCAAATCAAAAGGGAATTCCGTTTTATTATCACTTAAGGGAAAAACAGTTCGATGGCTTTTGGCCAATACACAGGTTTCACACTGAAACTGAGAATGATCTAGGCCACGAAACAAAGACGGAAACAAACGTTGAAGATAACCAAAGGATGGATGTCCTAGACGACGATGCCAAAGCCAAATCTGATGTTGATTTCGAGCTTGTGAGCTGGAACCTTGAGTATGAGCTGCCCTTGTTGGTGAAGAGACCGTCAAGGAATACAACCCCCCTCTTCGTTTACCATGCCCAATCGTCGCGTGAGTCGTGAGGTCCTGAAAAAGACAATGGGAAGGATAGAATGTGGCATAACAGTTATGTGAGTCAAGTAATTTTCCACCAGACAGCAAATTGCAATTGATGGAGGGAACAAGTAGTGTATGAGATAAAGATAAGGAAGGGGAAAGTGATATAGTTCCTTCACCAGCAACATTAGAGGGGACTCCATTGGCACTAGTGATGTAAGGATGACGAGACTTAGAAGATATTGTGGAAAACATAGTAGAGTCAAAAGTCATATGATCAGTGGCACCTGTGTCAATTATCCATGTAGTGGGTTGTGTACCTGATTCGGAGTCGGAGAGTAGGGTGGAAGATGGAGAGGCATCGGTAGTTATAACACATGCTGCCTTGGGTGTTTTGTTGCGGGATTTGAAAGCATCCCACCACTCAGGATAACCATGAAGCTTGAAGCACTTCTCAACAAGATGATCACCACCACAATGAGTGCACTTCTCAGTTCCCTTTGCATTGTCAGTTTTGGGACCTCGGGGGGGAAGTCCGGAGGACGTACGGTGTGGTGGCCGATATGGCTTGACCGCCATTGCACTCCCACCGCCAAGCATGGAAGATTGGCGATTATCTTCTTCTACCACTAGTGCATAAGCTTCAATGACTGCTGGAAGCGGATTCATGGCAAGAATCCGACTACGAACGGAATCAAAGTTGGGATCGAGTCCTCCCAAAAAATCGTACACACGTTCCACCTCAAGTGCTTGTTGGTGAAGAGCCACATCATCGGGATTGGTATGTTTGCAGGGACGGAGGCTGTCAATTTCCTGCCATATTATGTGTAATTTTTCGTAGAATACATTCACAGGTTCACCACTTTGAGAGGTGGTGACTGACTGACGACGGAGTTGGTACAACTTGGAGCTATTCTGTGTGACAGTATATGTCTTCCGAGCTGCGTCCCACACCGCATAAGCCGTTGAGCAGTGATCAAATAAGGCACGTACATTTTTGGTCATGGAGTTGAGGAGCCATGACTGCACCAAACAGTTGTCTTCATCCCAAGCTTCATAGCTAGGATCATCAATGGCAGGGGCAATCTTTTTACCATTAATGAAACCAGCCATACGACGAGCAGTGATGGCCAAGCGAACACTACGAGACCATGCAGGATAGTTGGACCCATCCAACTTATCAGGAGTAATTGGAGAGTAGTCATGAGAGGACCGGGGTGGTGGTGGTGTTGTGGAGTCGATCTTGGTGGAGTCGATTTTAGAGGAGTCGTCCGTGGAGTCGTTGATGGAGTCGTTGGTGTCACCCATGAGGTAAATATATAAAAGGATGTAGAGGAAGAAATAGCTTAAAACTTCAGCAAATAAGAGCACAAAAAGGGCTTTGTGATGATCAAGACTAATTTTGAGGCAAGGCAAAGTATGAGGTAGGAATAATATAACAGCAAATTATGGGCAAGGATAGGTAGAGATTTTAGGCAAGAACAAGGTTATGCAGAGGCAACCAAAATCGATTGCTCTGATACCATGCCAAATATAGTGTAATTGAGAGAGTTGAGAATGTAGAACAAGAAAAACAAGATAGGTTTTGCAGAGAATTCAAATCTGCCAATTGAATTACTTACATGGTGAAGGGTTTGATATACAAGTATACAAGGTAATTATTAGTTACAAACAATGCACAAGACATGGAGGGAAACATGGAGAGTTTCCATCCCTAAAACAAGGAAGAAGAAAACAAGGAAAAGTAACAAGGTGGTAGACAAGCCATTTAGGGATGTCTATGTTTTGTCTTTGTCTTTACTAACACCACCCTTATTCCTACAGGATGTTATTACCCATATTATGTGAATCTATATTTTTGGCTAACCAGTTTTTCTTTTTTCAAAAGTTCAAAATAATATATTATTGACTTTAACATATATTAAAGTTTTATCATATATTAAAGTTTTTCTTTATCATTCTCTCAACTTCAGTCATTTTCGTCCAATTTTTACAGATATCAATAGTTTGTCAATATTACAGCTTTTTGGACCATCGATATTTATGAAATCAACGAAATTTAAGACTTGATGGGACACTCAAGATAATTAAGGTACATGCATAAATACAAAAATGCACATGCACGCTTTATGGTTTAGGGTCTTGCAAATTTTAACTCAACTAACTGAAATTGGGGATTCTCGATCATCCCCAGAGCTTAGAAAGTATATATTTATATATATGGTTGGGGATTCTCGATCATCCCCAGAGCTTAGAAAGTATATATTTATATATATGGTTGTGGGTTTTAATTTCTACATATATATGCAAACGCAGGTAACGTATTTCAAATGTGGTGGAGTGTCACTTTCAGTCGGAGTGGACCACCGAATTGTGGATGGGCCACCTAGTCTACACTTTATAAATACATGGTCTGCTATCGCTCGTGATGATCTTGATCTCTCAAATATTGAACCACCCTTCATGAACAGGATGTTACTTCGTGCCCAAGATCCACCTCAGCCAGCATTTCCTCACGTTGAATATCAACCTTTTCCACAGATGAAATTAGCTTATGATCATCTCAAAAGCACAAGTAATACTACTACGTCCATTTTTAGATTTACGCGGGAGCAGCTTAACATCTTGAAAGCCAACTCTGTGGAAGATGACGGCGGGAATATTAATACAATCAAGTATAGCACATTTGAGGTGTTGGCAGGTCATATTTGGAGATGTGCTTGCAAGGCACGTAAACTCCCAGATGATCAAGACACCAAACTACTCATTCCCATTGATGGACGGTCGAGATTACAACCCCCACTCCCACCCGGTTTCTTTGGCAATGTCACTTTTAGAGCCGCACAAATTGCTGCAGCAGGGGATCTCCAGTCCAAACCAACATGGTATGCTGCAAGCTGTGTTCATAATGCTTTGGTGCAGATTGATGATGATTATCTCAAATCAGCCGTTGACTATCTTGAGCTTCATCGTCCTTGTGTTTCCCCACTTGTTATGGGTCCTCTGTCGATGAGGTGCCCGAATCTTCGGGTAAACAGTTGGGTTAGGCTGCCGATTCACGACGCTGATTTTGGTTGGGGTCGGCCCACTTTCATGGGGCCTGGCAAACAATTTGACGGGATGGCTTTGTTGTTACCAAGCGCAACTAATGATGGGAGCTTATCACTGATGATTTCTCTGCATTCTGACCACTTGAAATCATTTTCCAAGTTGTTGTATGATATATGAGGAAATGCGAGGGTCGAAGAAATTTGGTTCTGTCCGGTTTGAATTGCTGTTATTCCCTTCTTCTTTATGGGTGTTCAATTTTGAATTTCTGTATTGGTTCGTGCACGTTGCTTGATTGAGTGTTGAAACTTTATTTCGTAAGTGTGGTGGACTTCTTGTCCACAATGCTGGTTGTGTTGTGTTGTGATTCTTAATAGAGGATTCTCTTTCTCATGAAATAAAAAGAATATTGGAATCGAAAGAGTAGGAATCATAAATTCCTCGGGCTGGACTAGATATATCTATACTGGAATTGCACGTCAGTACTTTCAACTGATAAGGTTCAGTTGGAAATCGATACCAATATCAAGATTGGCAGAGCTTTAATCTGTTCTGGCCATAGAGAGGCTTACTGGATGGGCATAATTGATATTCTCTCAATCTGGATTGGACTAGAAATGGCTGGATTGACGATTGCTGATCTGGGGCTGCACCACAGTGTCTGCTTTGCTTGATTATGAATTAACCAAGAGCTATTTTGGCGATTTTGAGGTTTTCATATTGTAAAAACCTGAATTCTGTTTGATCTGGCTTATGCTGAGTCAAATTTGTAACAAGAGAAGTCTTGTTTCCTTTGTGAATTGTTTCTTTGAATTGAAATATACCAAGTTCTGGCTTTTTTGCTCGAGGGCTTTTTCGCTGGGTTTGAAATATCTCATCACCCATCACCATTTAAATTTCTCTAATAAAAATGTATCCCTCTGTTCGAGAATTAAAATATTATATGTGTATGTTTGAATTTAAATTCCCACGACGCATCGAATTAAAATATTATATGTGTATGTTTGAATTAAAATATGGTTCTTGATTTTACTCTGTACCTATCGCTCGTGGTGATCTGAAACATATTAATCCACCCTTCTTGGACAGGACATGACTTCGTGCCCGAAACCCACCTCAGCCTGCATTTCCCCACATTGAATTCCAACCTTCTCCACAAATGAAATTAGCTTCTGATCTTCTTCAAAGCACAACTAATACTACTACGTCCCTTTTTAGATTAACGCAAGAGCAGCTCAACATCTTGAAATCCAAGTTTAAGGAAGGTGGTGTGAAAAATATTAATACAATGAAGTATACCTCATTTGAGATTTTAGCAGGTCATGTATGGAGATGTGCTTGCAAGGCACGTAAACTTCCTGATGATCAAGACACCAGACTATTTATTGGCATTGATGGACGGTCCAGATTGCAACCCCCTCTCCCACCTGGTTTCTTTGGAAATGCCGTTTTCAGAGCCCCACAAATTGCTGCAACAGGGGATCAAATATCGAAACCAAGATGGTATGCCCCAAGCTGTGTTCACGATGCTTTGGTGCGGATGGACGATGATTATCTTAGATCATTCCTTGACTATCTTGAGCTTCATCATTCTTCTCTTTCCGAACTTGTTAAGCCTCCGCTTGTCGGCTCTGCAAATCTTTGGATAAACAGTTGGATTAGGCTGCCTATTCATGATTCTGATTTTTGTTGGGGTCGACCCATTTTCATTGGGCCTGGTGCAATTTAATTTGACGGGTTGTCTTTCTTATTGCCAAGTGCAACACATGATGGGAGCTTATCACTGATCATTTCTCTGAATTATGAGCACATGAAATCATTTTCCAAGTTGTTGTATGACATATAAGGAAATGAAATCATATTCCTAGTTAAAGTTGCGTATCGGTTTCTCTGATTGAGTATGGCAAGCTTCGTTACAAAAGTCATGAATGTATTGGTCTTCTTGTCTACAATACCCGCTGTATTTTCTTGTTATTCTTAGTGGCATTCTCTTTCTCATGAAATAAAAAGAATATTGAATTTTATAACGTCTGATTTTGTTAAATTAAACGTTGATTGTATATGCTTATGAGTTTCTTTTTAATTCTTCTTCCCATATTTTTCGTAAGAGAGAAATCAAAGTTGTTGTAGTTAAGGTAGGATTACATCTCCCAATATAAGCTAGTGAAAGAAAGAGAGCAGAAGCAGAAGGCCCAAGAAGGGCTAAGATGGAGTAATTTTGCCTACAAATTAATTATGCCTATCAGTCGATTCCATGCAGAAAACGGGCTTGCCAAAAAATAGATTATTTCTCTCCAACTAAAGTCATGTGGAGCCATGAAATTTCCAACTAATCTGCCATTAGCTACGTCCTTCGGAAAGCACCATCTATAAATAGCGGGTGTTATCAACTTTAAAGCAGGTACCTTTAGGGGTGTCTGCGGCTAAGATGAATTCTTTCTAAACATTTATACTATCTTTTTGGCCAAGCAATAATAACTACTACAAAAAGGTTAATAGACAACGGCTAAAAACCGTTGCGGTTTTAGTTTTAAAACTGTTAACTTTAACAGTGTCGTCTATTCTATATTTTATACACAACGGATCCTTCCACAACAGTTTTTATGTAAATACGTTGTAATTGGTCAACTTCCATGCTTCATTTTATGTACAACCGTTGTAATTGGTCAACTTCCACAACGGTTTAAAAAATAAAGTGCTGTAATTTGAATAATTCCACAATGGTTTTTCCGAACTTCTCTTTCTGTAAAACCGTCATAGTTGGACAACTTCCACAACGATTTTAAATGTTGCAATTTGCCTACTTCCACGATTGTTTTGATGTACCAAAAAATTACATTGTATTTATACCACAATTCCAATTTACAATTAGAATTCAATGCATGTACACTACAACAATTTGAACAAGAATAACAACAAAAAGTGTGTTTATCTTGTTCCATTACATTGTGGCTCTACAAATTGGTAACAATACTTGCTCACTCATGCCTAACTTCACGATGATCCAAAACTTGCAACCTTGTCTATGATGATGCAAACAAAGCTTCGGATACGGAGTAATGCCTCAATAGTTCTTGCAAAACCTATAATGTAAGGAAATTTGAAGAATCGTCTGCTCTGATTTCTAAAAATCATAATAAAACAAAAAATAAATAAATGAAACAAACAATATCTAATCTGTGCCCCAATACTATGATGAAACAAACAGTATGAATTTGACAACATCCAAATCTACCAAGTACATAATTAACCTTCTCCACTTTGATGTCTGCAAAGAGAACAAATAAAAGCATGTCTACTGAATTTTAGATTTCAACAGTTGTGCTGAAAGAAAGCACCAAAACTAGACTCCAAATACAGAGGCTACAATCTTGAAGAATAGTTCAAGAATCTAAGATTTGAGAGCAAGAGAAAAACAGAGAAGTGAAGAACTCCGTAGACATATAAATTATCAAATAAAGGATCAAGCAGAACTACCAAACCGGGTAAGTCACAACCAGGATACTGAACCACACAAAAATAAGGCACAAATCAGAGAGTAATGATTATTCAAGCTTTGACATATATAACTAGGTTAATGATAAAATGAATTAAAAGTTTTTTTTTTCAATTCGTTGATGCCCAAAATCGGGGGTCAATTTAGGTGAAAGAAGTGTTGAGTCTTCAGCAGGACAAGAGGGTTGTGGATCTTCGGTAAGGAGAGATCCTGCTGAAGAAAATAAGGAAGAAGCAATCGTCAAGATTTGGGCACTGGTGTGGTACCTGTCTAAGGCTTTCCGATGCTTAAGTTAGCAAGTGTGGGATGCGTGGTAATTTTGAAAGAGTAATAGTAAAAGTGAAAAGTAGTTACTCTTTTTACCTTGGCACTATTCCTCTTTTATAGGGAAGTGAAAGTGAGAGTTTGCACAAAGTTCGATGTGGGACATTGTGCAAATTGTTGTGGTGGCAACACATGTTCGTGGTTCTAGGTTCTGTAGTTTGAGAGGATCGGCAGCCATCTTCGGTAGGCGACTACCGAT